TCCAGGATCAGCTGGGTCAGCTCGTCCTCCAGCGCCGCCACCGTGGTGTTGAAGGCGGTGGCCATCTTCCGCATGTCGGCGGACACGTAGGGGCTGAAATACTGCAGGGCAGGGGTGTCAGCAGCCGCTACTGTCCCCAGTGGCCTGCCGGGCTGTCTGCAGCGCCCACCCACCTGCCCCAATGCTTACCTGGATAAGGGCGCGGTTGCGAATCTGCGTGTAGAGGGTCCTGACGTGGGGGGCCAGGTACATGTCCAAGAGCAGGTTGTCCTAGGGTGCAAGGCCAGTTGGGGTGCCTGCCGCTGCCCTGCGGCCCCCAGTAGTAGACCACCCCCTCCCACAGTCCAGCCCAGCACGGCCCCACCCTCACCTTCATCTCATCCAACATCTTGAGACACGAGGCATACTTGGACTCATAGAACTTGAAGATGATGTCCCGTACCTGGGGCTCCAGCTCCAGGAACAACTTGAAGGAACTGCAGGGACCAGACTCCTCAGAGCACGGCCCCTGCCCTGCAGAGCCAAGGAGAGGGCACTGGGCCGCAGGGGCCGCCAGAGGCCAACTGGGCATCGGTCCCCAGGCGGAAGGCACAGCCGGGCTGGGGAAGGGCTGCTGGGCCAGCACCGCGGCCCACCCACCTGCTGGAGATGACGTTGCGCTGCAGCTCCTGGCGGTCAAAGGTGGCCAGGGCGCACAGGCCCCCATAGACGGCCACATTGCTGGGGGAAAGCAGCTGAAGGCAAGAGGTGAGGGCATTGAGACCCCAGCCGCCGCTAGTCAGGACGGCGGCCAGGAATGAGGCCCAGAGCCCACGTGGGGTCCACACAGCCAGCTCAAACAGCCCCTAGGTGTCCACTCGGGGGAGACCCCAACACCAGCACCCAACCCACCAAGCTCACCCCCACTGCCCAAGTCCCAGCTCCTCCGGAGCCCCCGCAGCCCCTCACCTCGGGGAAGTCACAGTGGTCAAAGGAGGCCAGCAGGAAGCACTTGGCGGCCTGCTTATACTTGCGGGCAGCCAACTCGGCCAAGCCTGGGGGCAGACGGGCAGGGAGAGCCATGAGGCCACCAGAGCGCCCATGGGCTGCAAAGTCTCAGCGGCCTACGGCGCCCCCTGGCC